ATTTATTGTGTTAGTCGACTGTCGAGCATGACTTTATATTCATATACACGATTAGATATTAAAACGAGGTAAAAAGATACTAGAGATCATGTTTTAGTAATTAATTGTAACAAAATATTTCTTTAAATCAATATATTATATTAACCTTTTCTTCAGAATTTATAAAGAAACTTAGAGAAAAAAGAGAATTTGTATCCATTGATCATGAATCTACTTGTTGATGAATTTTGTTTCGGTTTTTCTTGAAATATTAGTGTTAATAAAAGGATTTCTTCTTATTTTCATTGAATAAGAGACAAATTAAAAGCTTCTTCATACGCCTACGTATCTTCTATCAATACAAGATATTAATAGAAATCTTTATCGAATACTCAAACTGTCAATTGATGAGTATTTTAAGGTCATGAGCTGAAGTTTCCGATGAGCTCATAGAATTGACAATAGTTCATCCATCATCGAGACCTCGACCTGTTGAAAAATAACGCTCTCAGGAATTGTTATTGAACTTTGACATCCTGAAATAGCATATCTACGATGAATTCCAACGCATAAAATTCGCAAAATTCAGAGCAATTGATTCTCCGACTTTTTGAGTTTTTCTTAGTTTCATAGAGAATATGCATATTTAGGATAATGAAGCTTGTAGAGATTAGATAAACTTAGCATGACATTTTAATCATAGACGAATTTATAGGTCGTCATGAAATATAATTATTATAGATTAAAATTATTTTTCTAGGCTTTCTTTTAATATATGACATTGATAAATTTTTTTCTTAAAAAGAGTCGATGGATAGATTTTTATTATAAATAATTGAGAAAGAAAATCTATCTATAATGAGTTTCGTTATATTAAACATAAGATATATATTTCAAAAAAAAAAACTATACGATAATTACTTTGAATAAGAAAACAACAACAACAACAACAACAACAAATAGTTAAAAAGCAATAGATCCAGAATAACGATAAATCTTATTTAGTTGATCTATTTAAGATTCGGATATTCAATTATTCTAATAGTTTCGCAGAAAGAGAAAAAAACAAACGAACAGTTCTAAATTATTCCATCGACTAGTTCATTGCTATCTACTACCCAAACGATCTATCATAGTAGTTTAGTGAGTACAAGACATTATGAAGAATACAAAAGTTGGCAATTCATTAGAGTTTTAAATCTAGATAGAAAATATTTTTATTTATTTATATCTTCAAAGTACATAGAAATATCGTTCGATAATATCATGGAATAAACGATGTTTTTTTGATAGATTTTCTTTTCTTTGAGAAGTTGAAAATAAATGAACGATAGGAATTTGTTTCCGGGGACTCAATATACGATGAGTATAGAGACTCGAATAGAACAAGAAAAAAAAATATTTTTTTTGCAGCTTTCTATCACCCACCATTGACTTTATAAGAAGTACTTAGATAAGATTTGTACTGCATTGCATTGAAGAAATTTTTTATCTATGTTACTAGAAGTTATCTTTTATTGAATTGTTTCAAATTTTTCTAGATTTATATTATGATCATGTAAATTATCATTATTATGACTAACAATAATAGCAGTACTAATTCGCAGCATTCAGGTGGAAATAATTTAACTGTTTACATATGTATTCATCTGGTAATGCCATGTGCCGTTGCTATCGGTATTATTGGCAATCTTTTATCTATATTGGTATTTGCACGTCGTGAAATGATTAAATTTTGTGTATCTATGCTTACAATTGTTCTTGCAGTTAGTGATATTCTTTTGTTAACTACTTCATTATTTAATATAATTTTGCCGGATTTTCGTGGTGGATCATTGTCAGATGAATCGGTATTTTGGTGGTATGTAAATGATAGTAATAGGTTTTCCTTGTATGAATAGTTAATTAGTATACTTGAAAATATGCTTATGACTTTTTTTCTTTCATAAAAAATAATTTTATATCCCTAGGGTAAATACGACATTGAATGCTAAAGTAAAAGAGTTTTTTTAAGTTAAAATGGTCGTTTATTTTGCTTCAAGAGTAAATTTTGTAAATCATTGAGAAAAAAGAACATTTTTTCAAGACACAAAGAACAAAAATACTTGACATAATGTTTTAAAAATTCGGAATACAAGATCAAAAATAAATAATTCTATACAAAATAAAATATTTCTCATTTATTCTTTAGTCATTTTCATGGCTATTTCGATCTTCTATTTGCTGGAGTCAGTGGTTATTCGGTTGTATTTATATCAGTTGAAAGATGGTTTTCTATCTGGAAACCATTTGAAAAATCGAAATATGTTACATTTAAATCAACACTAATAATTGTTATTAGTTATATATTAATATCAATATTTGGTTTTTCATGGTTTCCATTTACATTAAATTATAATCCAGATCAACCTAAACCTGCAGAAAAATGTGAATTATCACGACCAACTGTATATAAAATATTTGGAACAATATCAGTTATATTTACTTATATTGGTAAAAGAAAGATACAATATAACTTAGAGTTTTTTTTTGTTTCTATTATTTTTTTTTCTTCTTAGTTCCATTTTTTTTTCTCGGCATACTTAATATTCTTATTGTTTATCGTTTACATGCTCGTCAAAATACAGTAATACAACGTTCACTAATGCAATCAAGTAGTACATTTAATACTGATTCATCATTCGGATCATCATCAACACGTAAAAGACAACACAAACAACGAAATACTGATCGAAATATAACACTTATGTTGATTACTGTTGCTATTGCTTTTATGGTTATGACATTTCCATACCAGTAAGAATGAATTTCAAAAGACCAAAAAAAAAAAAAAAAATCATTTTACGTATCTTTTGTGTTTTTTTCTGTCCAATAGAATCTATTGGTTTTATATGCAAATCCGTCAAGTGACTGCACAAAATACAACTTTAGTTACATTAACACAAACATTTCGTTATTTGAATTGTTGTTGTAACTTTTTTCTTTATTCAGCTACATCATCATTATTTCGTCGTGAATTACGTGAAATATTTCAATGGAAACATTCATTAAAAGCAAATCAAAAAAGTATTAATGTTAATGATGATCAGCGACCAAGACGAGTATCAACTCTACAACTTGGTTCACTTAAGAAAAATAATGTTCCATCTGAACGTCGAATTCTTTTTTTACAAAAACAAGCACAAGCATCGTCAACAAAAACAACCGTTGAAAATTTCAATTTACCCGATTCAATAAATGGAAATATGGCTTCGTGTAAAACATAGTTTATTTTATTTATTGATGTTTTCTAATTTGCATTTACTCATTAAACAAATATGTGTAAAAATCGTCCGAAAGAAAAAGAAAATGAGAAATTCATTATTTAATTTACAATATTTCTTGTTTATGGATGGAAAAAAATATATATCTGACATAGAAAAATTGTAGAATGTTACAAACTATAATAAAACAAAAATTAATCTTTCGTCGTTGTGTCATCATTAATTGTCTAAACAAAGAAAATTACTTCTTAAGACGATAAAAACTAATTTCCTGAAATAAATCATGTAAATTATAAAAATTCTAGATTTGTTATGTGTTTTGATTGTTGACACAAGCCATACATAATGGTATTAAAAATAAAAAATATTGTTCTTAATATGATTGATTATATAATTAAAAATAGATTCCGAAATGAATTAAGAAATATCATAGGATGAGAATAGTCCTCTTGTTTATTCTATAGAACTTATTTGTAAAAATTTTTGACATTATATATTTGTTCAATTTTGTAATCATTTATAAATGATAGGAAAAACTCACAATTCATCAGCTAAATAATTTTACTACAAATGACATCACTACTTGTGGATCTCATATATTCAAATATGAGTGGAAGTTTATATCAAGTTTTTCAAGCTCTATCTCTTGTTACAAATAGTTTCGTTGTTTACAAAGAGAACAAGTTATAGAAACGATTACTACCTTAATCTTTATTCAATGAACAACTAACTACGTATATAATTATCTTGTGACACTTGTATTTCAATTGCACTAATTTTGAAATTATTTTTTATTAGATTATATATATTATATATCTACTAAATTATCTCTTAGGTTATATGGAGTATATGAAATTCATATTTTAGTCTCTAAGGACTGTGCTCATAAGCTTTTTTTTATGTTAATTATAACAGTCGCAATTCTAACTATAAGAAAGACTTTGCATACATCAATATGTGAAATGATATAGGTTCTAAAAAATGCTTAAATTATTCCCTGTTTTACATATTACTACAAAATACTAAAACCTATTGTACTTTTGATGTTGAAATTCGAAGGAATCGATATCGTCTTCTAGACAAATACAGCCTTGTATAAAGAGTAGCTTCTCGAAAAATGTTTCTAGTTGGTTATAATTCGTGCAATTATAAAAAATGCAACGCTTTACAATAATAGAAAGTAAATGTTTAATTTGCTTGATATAAACAGTATTGTTTTATTTATTCAAATCTTTGCTCACCTATTAACTCATTTTCAATAAAAAAAAACAAAATTCAGAAACATATATGTAATAAAATGATGAATTTTTCATTCTAACGAATTATTTTCAATAATTTCCAGTAGTCTATACGTAGTCGAAAATTGAACAAATATGTTATGCAAAGATTTTTATGCATCGATTACTAATAATTTTGTTCCTGAACTATTAGTGAATTTAATTAAAATGAAAATTTCTTGTGATAATGTTAATAAGTCAACTAAAAAAACAAACATCCTATTTCAAATATTATCTGATTAAGAAAACATATTTGTAAAAGACTTTTTCAAATAGGGAATATCTCAGTTGATTATGAATGTATGAAGCATGGGAGTCAATTTGAATTTATAATTTTATCAATGTTATTTTTGAACGTGGGAATGCATAAACTAATAATACTCAAATACTATCAAGAGACTAAAAAAAAAGAAGAATAAATCAAAAGCAACGTTAGTTATGCATCGTGAGACTAAAAATAATATAAATTATGTTTTATAAATCAACCTACTTCAAGCTCACGTAATACTTGATCAATAAAATCTTGTGCATCACCCATACGATAAGCATTTGCAAGACGAATAGAATCACGAAAAAGTCGTACTACATTAGTATCATCAGCAGCTGATACAAAATATAATGGCATATCATGTTTTTTTGGAAAAGAAAATAATTTTTTTGTCACTTCTATAGCAGCATCTATTTTATTAACAGCACATAAACATGGAATATGTGGACGAATATCGCGTAATTCATTATACCAACGATCTAAATTTTTATATGTAACCTTTTGTGTTGCATCAAATATCTTTTTATATAATACAAAAGAAAAAACAAATCTTTTAATTATATATAATAAAATTACAAACCATAATACAAGCATGTGCTTGATGAAAATATGAATGATGAATATTATCAAATTTTTCTTGACCAGCTTAAACATAATGAAACTTTTTATTAATATGCCAAGGTCAAATTACATAACGGGTGATCGGAAAGTTTGTCGACAAGATGGTTGTTCACTTTCGACAGGCTAGAAAGTATTTCTGACGAGTCAAAAGCTATGAAGTAGTGTTCTTCTAAAACACGGACTTAGAAATTTTGTTCGAGAGTAACGAAATACTCTTTGAAAAGCCTAATGATTAGGTTCTGGCAAAAAATATTTGTATCTTCATTATTATGATTCAAGGCTAAAAGTTGGAATCTTTATTTATATATCAGCTTGTAGATTCGAAGCTAGTCTATCAAATGTACTTCGTCTTTCGACAAAGCATCTCAATGTTCGTTTTTTTCTAAAAACTCATTTTTAAAAAATCAACAATCGCTTTACGTTGAAAAGAATTCTTGAAAAAATATTTGAGCAACAGCTAAAGCTTAGATCAATATCACATTTTGTAGAGAAATGTCCGTTCTATGAAATGATCGACTTCGGTAATTTTTAGCACGTTCCAAGAGGAACTTGTAGGGTAAACAAACACCACCTGTTGCTTCACCATTTTTAGATTTTTCAAAAAATCCTTCAGTACTCTTCTAGCAAAAATAGACACAACATTTCTAAAGCCATATTCAAATTGTGGCCACAAACTATACTGATCTACTTTCAAGCTGCTCAAAATGAACAAATATGTTCATCAAAAATGTCGACCTACAAGTTTCATCTAAACTAATTTTTTTGGACTTTCCAAAGATTCTTTCAGTAGTGTCGAATAAAATTTCTAAGTTCATATTCAAAACTGGTACAAACTCATAGTTTTTGACTCGTCGAAAATATGTTCTAGTGGGTCAAATCTAAACAAAAATCTTATCTAAAACCTTTCCAATCATTTGTTACGCTAACCTGTATCCCAAAACTCAATGTCTAATTGTTTCCCATCAACTTTAGCTGTACGTTTAAATATATTAACAGCCAATGTTGAATAACGTGAGCCAACATTGTATCAAAATATAGTTTGATTTTAATTACAGTAGAAATAATAAAAAAAAAACTTACTAAGAATTAACGAGAAAACGTTCTAGTAATTTAGATTTTCCAACAGGCACTGTCTCCCAATACAATGATTTTTAAAGGTTCAGTTATCGATGTATTGGCTTTTGTTGTAGATACGGTCATCTAAGATATTTTAACATATAATCAACGTTTCTGATAGACATTCAAAACAAAATATCTTGGTACTTTTTTGTTTATATTATTAGCCCTATGTAATACATCCTTTTTCATAAAGAGAACGTATCAAAGTATACCACGATGAAATTTTTTAAATAATATATTGAAGAAAAATGAAACAATATTTTTTTATTTTTGTTCATTTAACAACAAAATACCTCTTGATCAATAGACAATAGACAATTAGCGAAAAACATATTCATATTCATTTTTTTTCCTGATATAATTAAAAAAAAGAAGGATTAGTACATGAAAGAAAAAAATCAAGTGTTTCAAAAAACAATAGAATAACTTCAATACACTACTCTTTCATTAAAAAACATACAACCATCATCGGAGTAAAGTACTATTATTCAATTTATTCAGGTTCAATAAAGCGGCACCGTTAACGATATAAAATGACAAAAACCTGCACACTATTACGTTGCTGTTTTCTGTAATTTTATAGAACAGAAAAAAATAGTAGAAGATACAATAGGTGTTAGTCAACGATAAAACAGTCCGTAAAACTTGATGATCAATTCCAGTAAAATACGGTGTTTTATAGACGATTTCGATAGTCAGAGTGATGGCTCTGAACAGTTGAATGTACTGTATCCATTCTTCTTTTCTAAGTAAAATGTAAAACAGCAGGTGCATTTACATAAGCTTTTTATAAACATGCCATTGTATTCAATTAAGGCATGGCTCACATATATTAGAGTCACAATAGGAGTAACAATGTACCTTAATTTTACATGTATGCACCTGCCATTTGAAATACTCTTTTTAAACAGTTTTTATTTTCTACTTTTACCGTTGGACTAATCATTTGATTTCCGATGGATGTCACTTTTTTCGAATTTTTTTTTCAAAAATTTCATCATTGATTTATTATTATATTCTCATTATTATATTATATTTAGAAATAAAATTTTGTATTTTAATTAAATCTTATTTCTTATTGGTTTGTTAATGCATGCTTTAATATAAGTCAATTAGCTTACTCTTATGCTAATGTCCCAAGAATGGGAACAGAAGCAGAAAGAAAAACAATAATTGACGGTATAACGATTTAATACGAAGTTTCATTTATTTTCTTACATAAAAATACAAATGTTAAATCTATAAACGTATATTTAAAAAAAGATGATTGAGTCAAATGAAACAAACGTCGATATTGATGGTAGAGTTCTTGACATTCTAATATAAAAAGAAAAAGTGACGTTTTTATGTTGCAGAACAAGAACAATTTCGTCAAAAACTATTATGGACCGTCAAGCGAGAAGTAAATTTATATGGAATTTTATTTATGAAAATATAATTTTTTTTGTAGGTTAAACAAATGATGGAAGAAGCGGTCATGAAAAAATGTATTCATGAAGAAAATTGTAGTGTGACAACACTTTCTAGTAAATCACTTTCAATTCATATTTGATTCATTGTTTTTCTTTCATTATTCAGGTGCTGTTGAAGCATGTCTTGTACATGGTCTTAAAAGACGTGCTGTAGGGTTATTTAAAACAAGTACAACAATGGCACTGTTACAAAAAATTGCCAAATCTTGTCCATCAGCAGCTGAAGTTGTGAAAATTGTTGATAATGATAATCGTCGTACTGTAGAACCAACGAATATATTTAGTTTCTCAAGGTATGATGAAATAAACTGTAACGAAAAATTTGTGTTAATAAATTGATATTTAGTAGCTATGCTTGGTTCTCAGCAGAGGCATATCGTATTTTAGAGATACTTTTCGAGATATCACAGTTTGGAAATGATCGATTTCTTCGTCGGTTACATGTTACGCGACAGCTAATGTATTCTAATGATCAAAACAAATAGAGACTACTAACATCCATTGAAGTTGACAGTTGTATCGAGTTTCATCTTTAAATATAACATTATCTACGATTCTGATAAAGACAGAATATTAATCAGAACTTCAAAATTTTGTTGTAACCTGAATTAATTATTTTTATCTCTAATTTGTTTCCCCTTGTGTTGCATTAATCGGAAAGTAATGCATTTTTTGAACTCTACATAATAAAAAAAAAACAAGTCTTTTAACTTATCATAATGCTCGATTTGAAAGCAATTGGAAATACTTTTTTGGTCATGATCAAGAAGGAAGAGTCTTTCTTTTTCTAAATTTAAAGTATCAATGATTTTATTATGAAAGAAAGAATAAATCTATTTTTGTTTCATTAAAAGAAAATTATCAAATACTGAAGATAATCGACGTCGATCAATTCGTTCAGCTATGTATAACCGTTATTTATGGATTCGTACAGCACTTATTCATCGATCGCTTCATAAAATTGTGGAATATATTGTTAATATTAGTTCGTATGTATTATCAAAGTTTTCTTTTCTGTTTTTCATTCTTTAATTTCATTCTCTTAGAAAATATTACGAATCATATGCACTTGTTTGTAATTCTGTTCAAGGACCAATTTTTGCTTCATTACTTGGTAAAATTAAAAATATCAATTTCATTTTAATCTAATTATATTTTGTAATAGTTGGCCCATGTGCACTTGAATTTACTCGATTACAAATATCTGATCACCTTTGGACAGATTCTAATGCTAATGAACTTGTACAACGTCATCGTATGCATACTAGTAATCGAACATCAACTAATTCAACAACAATGATGATTCATGTGAATAGTTCTCAATCACCTAAATTTCGACCAAGATTACAAGTAAATGTAAGAGAAACAAAACATGAAAAAGTTTGAAAAATTTATTCGATTTAAATATGAATATATATAGGCAAAGCGTCATGCAAGTTCATCAAGTGAAGAGTCACAGCGAAATAATCAATCTTTGTCAATGTCAACAAATCCAGCAAAAGATTATGTTGAATCACTTCATCAAAATGCTAAGTCACAATTGATTTATGGAAAAAATAATGTCCTTGTACAACCGGTAAACACAAAATATTTATTCCGTTGATAATTGAATCAATGTATTGAAATGTTTTCATTTGTAAACAATACTTGAATATTTCTTCTTTCGATTAACGATAAAATCGTCTTTTAAATAGTGAATAAGTCATCTATTGAACGGATGCAAATTCTTTGCGTTTGAAGATCGTCTAAGAAGGAAACCTCTTCAGAAGGTTCTTCGCTTGTGTACATCATTCGAATACTATGAAACTAGGACAATAATTAGAAAACGCAGTCGTTTTACTTGAACATTTTAAAATACTAGAATGAATTGAAATTGGTTCATAAAAGAAGTAACCATGCCAAAAAAATGACCGAAAAAATCAGATTTTAATCAGATTTCTTGATTTTTAATAAATTTTAACCGATGATTATTCGACTGTTAATCAATTTTAATTGTTGTGACCAGAAAACACTTTTTTTCTCCAGTTTTCACTTAGAAACTTGAATTTTTTTCTTATTTTTTCTGACTCCTTGCATCGACAAATGGTAAGTGTAGTACTAGCCCTACCCTTGACACATTCCTATATACACGACATCGATTCATACTCAATCGTGGAAGTCATAATGCCGATTTCCTAGATTAAAATGGATTAAAGATCAACTAATTGATTAAAATCGATTAAAATTTATTAAAAATCAAAAAATTGGGTTAAAATCTGATTAAAATTGTACCATTTTAATCGATTGTCAATCAGAAAAAAATCGATTAAAATCTGATTTTTCCGATCATTTTTTTACATGGGTAACAAATCGTAATTTGTTTTTTTGACTTTTTAAGAAAAATTAATATCAGCAGAATAAAATCTAGTAAAACGCCTATTCCTTAATTTTACAGACCTGTTAGCTGAAATCATCTCAGGGTCATTCTAGGCTTGTAACTTTCTATTTATGTCAAGGAAATGAGCTCACAAGCTAGAGGGGATTATTTTATAGATTACCTCTTCATTTTTCTTTAGACCAAATCGGATCTCACAAGGGCAAGAATTCTTAAGCCTTAACTAATGTATTTGTTATGTTTAACATTCTAAAAAAAAAATATCTATTAATAAAAATATATTCAAACTGGCAATGTTTTCTTTTAGAAGAAATTAAATTTGAGAAAAAAAACATCATTTTTAAGAACTTTATTCAGTCAACCTAATATTATCTTGATTAAAGATTTTTTTGTCTTTCTTAATCACGTAACAAGTCATGTATGCATACCGGGTTAAACAAGTAGGAATATGGTCCTGAAAAAAGCCATTTTAATCATCCAATTTCTTTTGTCTTTAATTCTTTATGTCAATTTAAATCTTCTTAAAAAGACAAAAGAATTAATAATATGTACGAGATAAGCCATCGAATCTATTCCTCTGTAAACACAAAATCTATTAGTGCCATGCCTGTGGGATTAAGATGTAAAATATGATGTAGCTGCTATTGCTAATCACAGACAGATTGCTTTATTCTATCTATTTCGAGACACATTTCTTCATCATATTTTTACTTATCCTTTCAGATATGCAATAAAGAAAGTAGTTCATATATATTATAACAAGACGCTATTCATATATACGGACTGTGACATTTCCATGGTTACGTCTGTCGAGATGCTTTTGTGAAGAAGGAGCATTCAAACTTTCACCTCTACATTTCTTTTAGATTGTGTTTCGCAAAAGATTGTTTATCATAAATAAGAGTTTTCCTCTAACGAGAAAACGTTTGCAACTGGTCAATCTCGTTCTTACTAAAGACCAGTTGATTGCAGGCTATCGGCCATGTTGATATTGAATATAAGCATAAAAAAATCTCATTAGGTCTCTGTATACTGGCTTTATAGAAAAACAGTTTTCCGGACTAATAAACTTTTCGCCAAAACTTTGTTTTTGATCTATTCAGATTAATAGTTAAATGTCAGCATCTCAATGTAAAAATCGTTCAATATAGCAGGACGTTCATAAAGAAATAAAGGAAGAGATGAATTCGAGAATATTTATAACATTGCGTTTCACTTTCTTGTTTAGATCAGTTTCATAATCAGTAATCTATTTAACAAGTTCTTTATCTTTGATTCAATTTATTCTTATTGTCTTAATCAAAAGCATTGTAAAAAAACCTTATTTGATTGACAAAGGTTGCGAAACTGTTCAAAAAAATAACGATATCTGTTTGTCTATTCTTTTTTTCGTTTTCATTGAATTAAATCATAGAAACAATTAGTATCTTGATAATCACTTCTACAGCTTCAATCATATAATTTATTCAAGTAGTTTCTTCTACTAATGTTCACATGAATAAGATCAATACATAAAGACAGATCCAAAAAAATTGTTTTCATTGAGAGAGGTTTTACCGTAATATTATTATATTTAAAGCTGAGTTTTGCAAAAAAAAAAAAAAGCAAAGCGTATTGTCTCATAGATAAATCTATAAGTTCTATAATAGGAGTAGATCTAAAACGATATAGGCAAAATTTTCGTTACTCTAGAGAATCGACAAATAAAACCCTTAGGAAATTTCCAATAGTAATATGCGGAATTAACATAGTCGATAGCCTACAACTCATTAGCTTTTGGTGAGAAAACGGTTGATTAATTGGAAATGTTTCTCCATAAAATTGTCGCAAACTTAGTTTTGTTTAATTTATGGTTCAAACTCTTTATATCTTTTGCATATTTCTCTTTTTTTTCAGGTTCCAAGTCATGATCCTATTCCTGGTTATCTATCGTTACATCTTAATCAAAATGGTTTAACATTAAAATGGACTCCAAATCAATTAATGAATGGTTGTAGTAGTGGAACAAAATCATTAAAAAGTAGTTCACAAGAAACAAATTCATTTGATTGTCATAATTCAACAGATACTTCAAAACGAGCCAGGTTTATTTATTTATTAATTATTCTTTTTATTAAATTAATTTTCTATTTATTAGTATTCTTTGGGATTATGCTATATCAGTGAATATGTCTTCAATTGTATATCTTCATTGTCATCAACATTGTACGAAAGAAAAACACTTTTTTTTTTTAGAAATTTTTTATTTGTTTTTGCTTTTCTTTTTGATTGAAGTTGATGGTGATCGTATTGTACTTGTTGGTTGTGATGGTGTTCAATATCCTCCATTACATATAAAAGATAAAGGTGGTCATTTATTAGCATTTTTATCTTGTTTAGAAAGCGGTTTAGCACCATATGGTCAACTTGATCCACCATTATGTTTTGAAAAAGAACAAGGTTAGTCGAATGGTTTAATATGTATAGAAAATATAGTTATCATGTTCGAATCTAAGTAAAAGAATTTCAAAATATGATGAATATTTTATTTCTACAATATTGATATCACATATATAAATGATGTATTGTTATGTCATAGTTACTCTGATTTTGAAATTCATAGTAATTATTTTATTATATAAAATAATATCAATTTAACTTTTCTAGGAAAAGCTTTTCCAAAATTACATCATCGTACTGAACGACAATATATATTATCAAATACAAATGATGATAATATGAATATACAGAAAAATATAGATATAACTGATGAAGATACATTATCATCAAATGACGATTATGTTTTTCGAATTATCTTCTTTCCTAATCGTTAGTTATCTGTATTGTGTAGTATGTCGGTGTATTTGTTTGCTTTTATTGTTGTAACTGTAGTGTATTTGTTTCTATATGTTATGAATATTTGCTGAATGAAATTTTTGTGATTATTTAGAAGATACATCGAACAATACTACTTCAAATCGATGGCAATGGCCAATATTAACAACTAATTCTCAATCATCATTATCACCACCAGCACAGAAACAATGGGATAGTACTTCGTTACCATCGTCACCAATTGATATAGCATTTGTTAATACAACTGTTGATGATACAGCAACTAACGATTTACATAAGAGCGCTTCAGTTAGGTAGGATAATATATAATCAAATGAATTCTCTTAAATATAATTATGATAGACGAAATTAGATTTAACGTTGAAATAACTTGGAAAAAATATAGTTTCTTTTTTTATGTTTGTCAAAGTACAAAATGAAACTGACTTTGGGTCAAAAAAAAATTAAAATAAAAGTGTAACTTCGATTATATGATTTTAATTTTGTACTATAAATTGTTGTTTTTCTCTTTGGATTGAGGTATATCTTAGAACTTGAAAAGACTCAAGCCATGGATAATACTGATTACCGACTGGTCCAACTCCGTATGGATGTAGATGTTTAGCAAGAACCAAAAAGAAATTTATATTATTCGTTGTCACTAACAAAACTGTTAGCGCAATCTTTACGGAATTGAAATGTGAAACACGATGTAGCTATTACTGCTAATCATAGAGAATTGTTTGATTCTATATATTTCTTTACCGTCATTTTATTTAATCCGTCAGAGCTGCAATGAGGAACTAGTTCATATATTATTACGAGATTTTATTAATATACGGTCATTGATTGTATTTCAACAATATCTGTCACATCGGTGATGTGTCGTCGCTATAATATCTGTCATGTGTGTGATGAGCTGTTGCTAACGTGTCTATGACAGTCTGTCGGTCCCGCCTGTCATAATCTGTGACGTCTCCATTGTAAACTCTATCATGAACTGCTCGAAAACAATGCAAATTTCTATCCTATATACTTCAGCACTCCTGCTAGATCGTGTTTCATAATAAAGTGCGTCAGAGTCTATCGATTAAGCATTAATTGACCGATGTGTTTGGCACGTGCATGTATATAAACCAGTTCAGTTGGACATAATGGGCTTATACACATTGGAATGTCTTTTTTAAAAATCATTTTGTCATGTTCACGAACACGTTATGCATTGAAATCAAAATTGACTCGAGACGAGCAAATCTTAAGATTTTATCATGCTGAGTGCCTAGAAAAAGTGTTACTAATTCGAATTAAACTGAAAAAATTAATAATTATTTAGTTCTAAAGAACAATTGATAGATGGGACTAGGACTAGATTTAAAACATACATTTAAAATGTGTCGGAGGCTCATGTAGAGAAACTTATCGCTATTTAAACATAATTCGATAGAAAAACCATAGAAAATTTAGCTACAATTTTTCGTTCCAGTTTGAACAACTGTTTTTGTCGTAGTCTCAATCTCACACATATCTTTATTTATGGAACATTTCGTTCGTTAACATATGAGCGCATATCAAATTTGAATTGGACAGTAATAAATCATCACTGAAATCTCAATGACATGATAACGAGAGTCAGAGCTAACTGGTTGAGATTATGATTTGCTTGGAATGTAGTGAGAATATTTCATATGCTATTAATAGATCTTTGACAAAAAAAACGAATCTCTGCAACTTTTGAAATCATGAAAAAAAGTTTTTTTTTTTTGCCGATTACTTGTTTGTTCGATATGTGATTAATCCAAGTCGAATTGCGGATGGCATTATTTGTGTGGAAAGCTTTCGGAATCTTTTGTAAATTTGGAATCAAGTTAAGTTTATGATTGTTTCTAGAGATGCAACAGTGACAGTGAATCGTTCGCTGGCCTGCCGTGATAATGTTGAAGACGTCGAACGCATAATAAAACTATAATGGTGTTGGACTGATGTTAATTTTTTCGTTCGGGAATGTCTATGTCAAGAAAATAGCTAAATTTCATAAAAATAGATTAAAAGTTTTTGAAGTCCGATAATTTTAATCTATAGAAGATTTTTCGAAATTCTTAAGTTCCCTTTTCTCGTTCAAGAAACGTTTAGTCATATTTTATAAAGTTCATGTGTTGTCTTGAAATAGACTTTCTCCAACCAAAAGAGCTAAGATGAATCTAAGGTCACCGTAGCTTTATTATGCATTCACTGTTATTCTATATGTACGTGTTTACACTAGTGAAGCACTCTACATAAGATCGATAATTAACGTTGCATGTCTAATTGTTCTAGTGAATTATAAAGAAAATATTTAGCTCTATAACACATTATTAAAATGTATATTTATGTTTAGAACATGCATGGCATCATTATGCGACACAATGCGTCGTCAAATTTTATCGCGTGCATTTTATGGTTGGCTAGCTTACTGTCGTCATTTAAAAACTGTTCGTATACATTTAACATCTCTTGTTTATCCAATGTCAATAGGAATGAATGAACAAATAGAAAAAAATTTATCTTTAACAATTGAATCATGGAGAGAATTATTTCTTGATAAACAAAAAGAAAATTTACTTATTGATAAAAAAGATATTTATCGAAGAATTTATGCCGGTGGTTGTGATCCATCGATTCGAAAACAAGTAAAAAAGTTTAAATGAATTCTTTTTTATTATTTTATATGAATTTCTTCTGTAGGTTTGGCCATTTCTATTCTCACATTATTCATTTGAATCAACAAATGATGAACGAATAGATGTTGATCGAACAATAACTGATCGTTATAATAAATTACTAAACGAATGGCAAAATGCTGAAGAAATCGTTATTAAACTTGAAGTTCAACGATCAAAATTTTATAAAAATTCAACAACACAACCAGAAACAAATCAAAATTCAAATGAAACAACAATATCAACATTTAAAAATAGTCTTGCTAAAAATCTCTTAACCACTCCAGATACTCTACAACGGGAAAATTCAAATACATCAAACGATGTTTTCTATGAAGTACATTCATTAAATAGAAATTGTTTTTCATTTTAAAAATTTTCCTTCTTTCAGGGATGTCCAATTCATACTGTAACTATTCCGATTCAAGAAGAAACAAATAAATCAACAATAATATGTAATCAACCAGTACTTATTGCTCGTACGCATACAGAATCTGTTATTGATCGTTCATCGCCTTATAATATTATTGACACAAATACAGACGATGATGATGATGATGGTAATTTAAATTTTAAAACCATTGACAATACTTATGAAACTATGATAACTGAACAAGATGAGGAACAAAACGAAACAGTATCACCATCATCAAGTGTTACATCTGCAACTGATGTTTACATGGATGCTGTTGACATTTTAAATGATGAGCAATCGAGTAAAATTTATTTGTATATATAAATTAGATTTATTTATTCTGATATTTTTATTTAGATGGTTCATTAACACCGATTTATTATGGTTCATTTTCAAAAGAAACTATCGATACATTTTCAACTAATTTACATCGAATCGATAAAGATGTAGCAAGATGTGATCGACATTATTCATATTTTATGAATTCAGAAAATTTAAAAAAATTACGAAATATAATGTGCACGTAAGTTTTTCAGTTTTTTAAAATTAAAAATATGCAAAATAACAAAAAATTCTATTGTTAACGTTCGACATTCTTGTTTTTTTTTTCTGCTTATATTATTTGATAATTTCCGTGAATGTTATCATAGAACATTCACTTCTGAGAAAATCTTCTTTTTTTTTCGCAAGTACAGCATATACACTGTAGAATCAGTCTAAGACGATCTTTTACTATTATTTTTTCTATAGCTATTTACATCAAAACCCCAATAAGACTTTCTTGTCTACAAGTTTTCAGAGTTTTTAGATAAATGATCTTCGAGATATCAGTATATTAGTTTAACGACGCTAATTTATTTCATTAAATATTGTGTTATGCATAGATATGTTAGTCAATAGAAATTTCAGAAGTACGAAAATTCTGAAACTTTGTAGGCAAGCAAGAATTTTGTGAAATAGACTTTTGTTAAGCATACTTAAATTGAGATCTAATGTATAGCTGTACCGAATGAATAGATATGTATGTAAATTTGCATTTATTTTCTGTTAATCAAACTAACAACTGAGAATCAATCGCCTTATACGAATCGTAAGACAAGTAGCGATAGGCGAGCATCCGAAATGGTTTCCAAAACTCTAACCAAGGTGAAATTTTGATTGCTTAGTTTGAAGATATTTCAAAGAAAATAAATATTTGGAAACATAGACATCTGTCAAAAATAAGACTGTCTGTCTCAACAAAAATGAAATAGCAACTTCGAAAATACATTTTTATAATATGTTATTAAAACTATGAATGATCATTTCAACAATAAATAGTAGAAATAAAGAGAGATATGATATCGAGTTTTGTCATTTGAGCTCATATCAGATCCACAAAGAGGTCTTAGTAAGACTTGAAAAAACCTAAAGAAGTCTATATCCATAAGCGTTTGAAGCTGAGTTATGACCGTTTTACTAAATTTTTTATCCATTTTTATCAAAATCGTCTCCAACAAAAAAAAACAATTTAACACCTAGAGTGCTTCCCTTGTAAGTAATGATAATCTTCGAATTGTTTTAACATTAAACATCTCATTCAGATTTAATCTCATTGCTATTGTTTTTTCTTTGTTATTCATAGATATATATGGGATAATTTGACAATTGGTTATATTCAAGGCATGTGTGATCTTGTTGCACCATTATTGGTTATTTTCGATGAAGGTTATTATTGATCTATTTAAATTTTTGAATTATATCCATATTGTTATCATTTTTAGAAGTAATAACATATAGCTGTTTTTGTCATTTGATGAAACGTCTTCTACCAAATTTTCCTAATGGAACTGGTATGGATGAACATTTAGGTCATATGCGTTCATTATTACAAATTCTTGATTCTGAACTTTATGAACATATACATCATACTGGAGATTTTACACATTTTTATTTTTGTTATCGATGGTTTTTACTTGATTTAAAACGAGGTGAACACTTTTTTTTAAATAATAATTAATTAAGTTTATTGCTATTATAGAATTTATATATAATGATATATTTCTTGTATGGGAAATAATAGCTGCTGCCCGACGAACAGTTTCAAAACGATTTGTTTTATTTATTGCATTAGCAATGATGAAATATTATCGAGATATAATCTTAGATAATCGAATGAATTTTACAGATATTATTAAATTTTTCAATGGTTTGATTTTCTTTGTTTTTTTTTTTTCTATTGAATTCTTTTGAAAACTTTTCTATTGATAGAAATGGCTGAAAGGCATGATGCTCAAGAAATTTTACGCATAGCACGTGAACTTATACTCGAACTACAAAAGTTAATTGATAACAAATGAATGAATATTTATAACACAGTGAATTAAATCTGTTTAATGTTAAAGATAAACTTTTTGTTTTTCTGTTGTCCGTATGCTGTTATTGTTGTTTTCGTTTGAGTTTAGTTAGAAATTATCGTCATATATATATAGTGAAATATATTTATTAATCTCTATATCTTTTCGGATTGCTTTCATTGATGACTACTTTCTCATACAATTCTGCAATAGTCTTCATTTATTGTTGTGATTTAAAAGAAACTATTTTATGTTGTTGTATTTATCATTGTTGTTTTAAAATAAATATTATTTATTTTAAATATCATTTATTATGAATGCATGACATTAGCTTGTTCAAAAAAAGACTTTCACATACGAAATTATCGGGTAGTGTCCTATAATTAGACAGGATATCTGGTGTATGAGGTTGGATGCGGACTCGTGAGGTGCGAGATCATACTCAGGTCCGGTCAATAATTAATGAAATCTCGACGTTTCAAAACAATTTTAACTTTTTCAAACTGTTAATTTATATAACAGTATAGGAGTCAAAACCTGAGAAATTTATTGTACTTGAAATGTAAAGCGATATTGTTTGACTAAAAGAATTTGTTTTTAATGAAAAATCATTTACACATGATGATGAGCCATATAACGAAGTAACCGAATACATGGATAGAAAACTGAATTATGAAAAATAGTGAACATGTATTATGCTGATGAGAAAAACATGCATGCATGTATTCATAATTATAGGGTTTGACATCAACACTATTTTTTTGCTCCAGTGTCATCAGTAACAAGCAAACGTATACTTAGCGAAATTAATCGAACTGTAGAAGCAGAAAGTCACAAAATGAATCCTTAATCACTTGCTTTTTTGTGGAATTTGAGATGATCTCTTTTCTCTATTGATGCTTATGAAAGAAACTAAAGAGTATACCTTTTCATATAAAATAAAAGCTTGAAAATCATATTGTCATATAAAAGTATCTGGCGAGTGTCGATTAAATCCAATAGGGTATCGGAATACAGATATTCGTGTCCGGTTACAAAATATCATACCCGTGCAAGACACTAATTTTCGGTAGATGCCTATATTAAATAAGATCGTTCGTAAACGGTCATGTTAGATGGTTTTTTTTCGTCGTTGAGTAGGTGTCGTATTACGACTGTAAATCGTCAAATACTCAATTTTCAGACCATTATTAACTGTGTACAACAAGATAAAATACGGTTATAATACTACACGTGCCAACCATCGATTTGCAGCTATTTACGATCGCGACTTGGGTAAAACGGCAATACATAGTATCAGTTTTGGCTGACTTGGCGACTGTAGTTCTCGTCCTAAATGTCGAACTCAGCCATGTCAAAAATAAACAGACTCATACGATTTCTGAAGGTTATTGAAGACAAGAATATTATTGGCTCCAGATAAATCACATCAAATTTTATCGTAAAATTCTTACACAATCTTACAAATTTGTATGATGGTTTCAAATGAATATGCGAGTTCTTATAAGAAATTTAATGCAAGATTTAGCATAGGTTTTCGTCAAAAGTTTATTCTTTGTTTTCGCACAGATAACCTGTTACTTACTTTCTAATTATTTTTCTATTTCTCTGTTCTAGTCGCATTTACTATATTTGATTTATTCATAGATATTATAAAGATTACTTATTTATTTATTTAAAACAAAAGGTACAATAGAAATTCGATTTTATGCAATAAAATTACTCGATAATAATGAACACAAGAACTATGATATAATTAATACTTGAAAGATTTGAATTTCATGCATTGAGGGCGTCTATAGAAATTGAATGAATGAAAACTGAGCGCTACAGAAAATTAACTGAAAAAACTTACAATAAAAGGATGACAGTTTTTTCTGTAAAAAAAACCTTTATTTAAAAGGAATAAATTAAACAGATGCCACTCAGCAATCTCGAGATTATTAGAAATATGCATAGTTTTTCTAGTATATGCATATCGTTAGAATTTTAAATGTATTTTATTATTAAATTTATCATATAAAAAAGAAGATTGTTATGAATTTGTCAATAGACAGCTATCGAAAAAGTGTTGAATCGAGCAAAGAATTTTTAAATTAAAGTATATAGCTTCGGCACTATCACTTCTGTTTACAGTCAATAGACAGATTTGATTATAAGTTCTAAACTACTATTTCTTTCTTTTGTATCCATATAACTTATTTGCATCAATAATGAATTTCATTGTAACATTATTAAGTTAATTATATTAGTATCAATTACATTTGCAAGTTCTAGACTTTATTGCAGATTTCTCGACTATTTTCCATAAAAAAAAAACAATTTTTATTCGGTGTTTTTTTGTTCTTGGGCTTTATTGGATTCAACTGTTACTCAACGACTGTCCCAATAGGATAATAAAAGATGATTGTTCTGCATTGTAAGATAATAATTAGTATTCTATAAGATAACAGATGCTTTGTATTTTGATTGTTTCTTTTTTCCCGATGGATTTATGTTCCAGAGAACAAACAGAATAAGAGCATCTTCATTCGATTGAGTTTCGGTCTCTATTTCAAAAATATCCGTCGTATTTTCTTCTGATCGTTCACAGTCGTCTGTTTCTTTGATTGAAGTATACTTTACGTAATAAAAAGCACAACTATTTGTTCTGAAGTTTTCAACTTATATCATTGATATTTCTTCAGAGATTAAATTTTAAGTATGAACTGTTATTTGAAGAAAAATATTTGTTTTTTTCTGTAAAATTTGTATGAAAAACTTCAACGTTTAGAGTTTGATAATTATGTGTTGGATATAAATAACTTTTTTTGCGCCTTCGAGAAAAGTTACATCTCCGTTTTTTGGAGAACTCTACAGATATAAACGACTGTAATATCATACTTCCTCTTGAATATTTGAACTAATCTGAGCATAAAAATGTGTTTCTTTTTTTTTAAGCTGTTTCTTTCGATTGAGTAAAAATGACCTAAAACATTAATGAAATTCTTTAAACCATCGAGTCATTAACCAAAACGAATCTTTTCGAAAAATTCCTAAACAATGACAACCACGGAACATACAAAATTAAACGAGGAATTTTTGAAAAATGTAACTGCTTTAATGAAAATTTAGTTGCATTGATTAATAAGAATAGATTTTTCTCTCATAATTATAATTGCGTTCGATATGAAGTTAGTTATAATTATAGATATGAAATTAAGCATTACTAAGAGACAGGTGCGGGTGGATGTAATATACTCTCCTTCTTCTGAGATTCGTCCACATAATACTTCTTCTTTTTCTAGAGCTCAACCACTCTACGCTCTCCCTGCCTCCTCCAGTACTGTGTTATACATCTGGTAAAAGTGATGTTAATTATACTCTTCTAATTTTATTCAAAGAGAAATTTTATTATCTTTTATACAATTCAGTAATTGTGTTTTGTTCTTTCTTTAATCTTCTCCAAAGAATAATAAATTTATAATATTATTGATAACTCTTCAATATTGTTAATGTATTCATTTTAAAATATTTTATAAAAAAAAGAGAAATATATAGATATGTTCTGATGACCTCTATCGAAAATCAGCACCTTCTAAATTCTAAATGGTTATTTGTTTAGATCCAATGAATTTTTTAAAAATTGTTTCAATGTCTACTGTCAAGAAATTTTTTAAATATTTTAATCCTTCTTAATTTCATTGACGTCTTCTATTATTTATTGTCTCTTTTTTTAATGAGATTTTCAACTATTCTTTAGTGTATGCTAAGTAATCATTTTGGTATTGAGTGTTTCATCAGTTGTTAATCACAATTTAATTGTCCATGCTAAGAATCATATACAACAAACATTAGTACGTATTTGAATCAGTTGATAGAGAAACAATTTACATCTTACCAATTTATATACTTCAAAGAAATGTTGAAAAAGAAACACGTGAGGGAGCCGCTCGAGACATTCGTTTCCTATTTCGATAAATTTTCGCCTATAGATACTACACAATGTTTCAATAGAAACCTTCAATATATTTTGGTTGCTATTGACATTGGTTTTTCTAGAGCAGGTGTTCCATCCTGTGATATTATAATATCACCAGGTGGAACACCTATTATAGCAGTATCCGAGAAACTTATGCTTTCGAATGTTATCTTGAAACTTTATACGTGTGATATTTAAGTAGATGTAGTTTCAGGATAAAATTCTAAAATATGAATTTCCGAAAAAATTACTATCTAAAGGTGTCTCTTGACATTAGACATATTAAAAATTTGATAATTTTACCAAATCTCAATAGAAAGCGAAATCATTTTAGGATCTATTCCAGAATACTATTTAGTACATACAGACGAAAAATTATTAACATCTGAAGAAATATCTGGTATGATTCCCTCATCAATCAAATTGACATCGTACGTTAATCGTTTCTGTGGAGAATACATTCGGCATGGTTTTATTTTTGTACAAAGAGAATAAAAGAGACTAGATATTTATTCTTGATTACTCTATTATAGTTCTGATAGAAATATTCCTCAGATGAGATACACTGTCTTGATTTTTGTTCTTATCTTTGAAATCATTCAGTTCTAATCAGAAAAAAAAATATTTTGGCTTTCGTATCTATTTGTTTTGTATATGTAGGAGTAAACATCTTTTTGTCTATTGAGATTATTGTTCAAGGTTCAACCTTGAATTAGAGACATGCAGAATAAGATTTTTTTCTTTATAGGTCAACCCTATTCTATGAAATTTTTCTTTACCTTAACCCTACAGTATGCACAATTGTATCATAGATCATGAAAAATTGTTGACACGTAATCATTTTTGAATTCTACTTGAATTCGATTGTTTAGTAGTTAAATCTATGAATAATATTTCTGAATATAAAATACTACGCATGTATAGTAATACTTTCTTCTAGACTAATTTAGTTGATTATATCTGTCAATTTTTGTTTTTTGACGTTTTGTTTTTCTTCAATCTTCGAATTACTTAATACATTTGACAATAGGAAAAGATCCTG